TCAAGTATGTTAAATTCTTTTAATCTCAGAGTTATTCAAGAGAAAGGATGATTATTATGTATAGTAGATGATTATTATGTATAGTAGTACAGCTCTGAAGCGAAGCGAAGGCGAAGCTGTTGGCGGAGAGCTAGAATATTATATGATATACGATTTAATGGCAAGTAAAACGCCGGGTTGTGTAAATGTGCTATGTATGACCTTTGTGGCTTTTGTCCTCTGAGCTGGGTGTTAATATGAAAACCATGTTTCAATCATATGTAGGTAGGTAAAAGTGGAATATATATTAAGTTGCTGTAGAAACTTAGTAAGCGCGATGCAGGTAACTCAACGCCATCTTGTTATTTTGAATGGTAACAGATAGTCTATCTTGACGTCGAGTATTGCTATGATGTTGAGATAGATGGCGTTGCTAAGTAGTCGCCATAAATTTTCACTGATAATAATTGTATAAGGACATTAATTTCAATGTTTAATTAAAATTCAGCAAAATATATGATTAAAGTTTAAAATTTTACAACAAAAGATTAAAGTTATTCAGACAGATTTGAATAGATTTTAGAGTAAATTTCATTCATTAACATCATAAATTAGATCTCTGAAATCAAAACGTAAAATGTAAAACGCTGATAAACTATAAATCTAAAGTCGAAATTATCAAAGCCTACAACTTAAACTCTTATTCAACTGGTAACACAGCCGCTTATAAGTGTTGTTGTTTACAAAAATACAAATTAATTGCGCACGCAAGTTATCGCTCAGTTTCTTTTTAATTAGTATTCGTAGAAAAGTATTAATGATTTATAATTAAAGTTATAAATGTATTATTGTTTACTTAATTTACTTAATAAAGTATAAGAAATGTCTGAAAATGAGAGGATTTTATAAACACATTTTTAAGTGTATACTTTGGATATGGTTACTTACTTTAAAAAATCGTTATTCATTCGTGGGTTGACATAAAAACATTGATTAAATCCGCTAATTGCAGTATTGGCTAAAAAAATTAATTGTACTTAAAGCTTATTAAAGGATTAATATTCTTTGACAATATAATTTTGATCGTAATTTTATGTTATGTAGACATATAAAATTATAAATTTATAAAATTAAATAAAAAAATATTAATATTATCTTACGGAAGTGAAAATCAAAAGACATTATGGCATTAAGATTTATTATTCTACGCTTGTTTTTAAATTATAAAATTTTAATGTTATATGATGTTACAACTCTTTTTCGTGTTTTTAATTTATACAAAAATTGTTCCTACGTGTTTCCAATTTTTGTTAAGAAAATTTATTTTTTACCAGACAAACACTTCTGGCCAAATATTTTTTCTATCGATATTTTAATAATTAACATGTGTTTTATGGATTAGCGTGAAAAATAATAAAATTGTCCTCGCTCTTTTTGCATATAGCGCATTCAAAGTATAAGCGCCATTTTAATGCCTTATGTGACTATGTATATGCATCGGAATAATATCGGAAATCTGTATTGAACATTTGAAAAAAAATCATTCAGCAATTCCAAAGCAAACTTTTTTGTGAACGCAACTTGATTTTGCTGCTCGAGTTTTTAAACCAATTTATACGTTGCTGATCATGTTGTCCAATTTGCCCCAACATATATCTTATACAGGGTTATTAGTAAAACACCGGCAACCGTGCAGGATTAGATCACCCATACAAAATTTTTGGCTATTGGCGAGGAAAGGCATAAAGATTACATTAGTGTGTAAGCGGAGCGGAGTCGTCCTTTTTTATAAATGAAACAGTACACCTGGTCACGAGAGAACTATAATTGTTGTTCAAAATATTAAACGACGCATGGGCATTAGCATTTACTTGGGGGTTGGGGCAAAAGTGAAGAAATTATAAATAATAATTTATTTCAAATGTAATTTAAATCAAACCTTACTTTAATTACTGGTTATTGCGAGAATTATGGGAAGTTCTAGTAAAAAAATTGACGCAAATTTGACGCGATTTCAAGTTCAATGACGCAAAGTTTTTATTTGTTTATAACGCTATTCGTTACCAAGGCATAATGTATAATGAAATGTATTTAATTCATATAAAATCAAAATTCAAGATGGCCGCCGCTACAAAATGGCGGATTGATTAAATTGTTCGTTGTAAAGTATCACACCACAAGATAATAACAACGAATTTACCATTGCACACATTTTAACAGACGATTGTTAATATTGGACGTGCCCCACGATTTTATTTTGATTGATTTATTTTACCCATGCATGACTGCATCCATTCATTTATTTTTTAGCTTTTAGTACATTTATCTGCAACATTTTTCTGTTTACAATAAAACCGTTTAACTCAAAAAGTTTTTTATTTATTCATAAAACGATTGAATTGAAAAGGAAACTTATAGACCCGTTCTTAAAGCTTAAAAAAAAAACTGGGCATGCATGAACACAAGGGCGAGTCGACGACAAACTTCTTGCCAAGTCGAGGATGCTATCGACCTATCCGCCACTGCATTTATATAATTATTCTAGTCTTATTGCCAAATTCCATGATTAAAATTTTTAATATTAATCTTAATTTGTTTAGAAAAGGACCTTTTTTACGTGCGCTAGTTTGCGGAGTTAATTGTTGACAGTTATAAAAACGAATTATGTTATAAAATGCTAATATATTTTATTCGTGCAAAATAAACTTGCGATTTATAATCTTTAAATTACAAGAATTGATACACGTGCGGCCTTGACGGAGTACCTATCGTGTGACGTCACATTTCAATAAACTAACCGTCAACGTCTTTGTTGCGAGTACAAAGTTTTAAATATTGTTCCCAAAATAGATAAGTACCTAATTAAACATACACAGTGATATTATTATGAAAGATTTAGCGTCATAGTAAATTTACGCAAATTTTTGACACTCTTCTTTAACAACGAGTAATGTATACTACTCGGGTATTATTAAAATTTGGGTATTCTGAACAAGGCGTTTAATAACATAGTGTATGATAAAGTAATTAGGCTGACATAAATACTTATTAGAATACTGAATGGTACAACGTGAACTATTTTAAATAAAGAATAACAGCTAGTAACTTATGTAATATTGGGCTGCGAGTGTAAGTAAATAATTGAAATGTATACATCTGTAGAATGAGTAGTTTCTTAACAGTCAATTATATTTCGAGCTATCGCAAAAAATGTGCTTGTTATTGCACGACCAATTAATAAAGGACTTCAAACAAGAACAGTTTAAATCCCAGTATAATATTAGAGTAAAATATGTTCTACTGTAGTTTTTTTTTAAATTCATAATTGTACAAATAAATACATTTTGGGTTCAAATGTGTGTGTATGACATCGTGCTTTGAAAATAAAGAAATATGTAGATGAAAAATATAATAGTTGCCGATGTTTTATTATAAAACAACTCATTTGCTGTTTGTTAATTGGTTAAAATTAATAGTGATGTTATAAATGTATCGATACAGACAATAAATGATAATTGTAGTATGCATTCGCTTGTTTTATTTCGCCCATTCTAATGTAAATATTTATTTTTCGTATATTTTCACATTTTTTATATTTGCATTCCACGTGTATTACGCAATCTGCAATAACAAGGTTTTATTCAATTTATTTGGTAAGTTTATTCTTTCGGTTACTAAAAAAGGGTTCATCAAAAAGTTGATAGATTATAAAGAAATAACACATAGATACCAGTAACGAACTGCTCGAATTGCAGTTGAGAACAGCGCTGTGATGTGTGAGCTTCATTGAAATAACACCTTTATTACCTTTTAAATAGGTCTTATTTAACCTTTATGAATCGACAGCGCAGCGTTTAACGTCGAGTTCGTGTCTGTTGTGTCGACCGCTGCAGTACATGTGGTTCACAAATGTTATTCCACAATTGATGTTGTTTTTGTGACGCATGTTTGAAATATAAAAGTACTGTTATAATAACCTTATGATTACTATTGAGTAGGTGAGTAGTTATCTATTTATATATAACCATCATCAGCCCTGTTACATTCCCACTGTAAGGGCTCAGGCTTTACTTAGGGGTCGTCCATAAATTACGTCACACTTTAGGGGAGCGGGGCGTCGACGAACTGTGACATTATAACAATATTAGTCGAATTTATTTATGGATGGCCCCTTATGGATATTTAAGGATGATGGGCCATGACCCTCCACGCGGACAAAATGCGAATTGGAGGCTGCAGACGCAGCGGTGACCAACGGCTTAACGTGCCCTCTGAAGTCTTTTTTTGGTCACCCATCCCGTGACCGACCCTTGCGAAAGTTGCTTAACAACAACGATCGCGGGCCGCGGCACTTATCCACTACGCCACGCGAGTAATTTATATTAGCGAATGCAATTAAAACAAGTTTTTTATATAAAAATCTGTATATTCGAAGTTTTCTTAATACAAATCAATATTTTGAACTCGTGTGCTACATTAAAAGAGCTCCAACATTAAATATAAATATATTTTGAGTTAAATTTACAGTAAACTATATAATACAAAGTAAATAAGGCACCAGAAATGTTAACGTACAATGAGTATATATAATTGGCACCTAAATCTTAACTTTACTACAGTCCAATTCTATCTTTACGATGATAATGAATAGACCTTAATTTTTTGTATCGATTAACATTTGCAACATAAAAAAATAAGCGGCCATTTTTATTCACTCCATCGGGTGGGATATGGACGTAATTTTATTTAAAATTAATTAAGTCTTCCAGGTGCCTAACTATGTTAAAAACTAAAATTATAGATTTCCCGAATTACACACGCACTTGAAACTATTCGTTTTATTATAAAAGTTAGTACTTTATCGAAAACATTACAACGACGGAAGAGAAAACGTCAAATTGACGTGTTCACTTATTTTGGTCGGGTAATTATTTAAACCTGGTACTAAAAGTTAGTTTTCGTTTTATAATAAGACGATTTGGGTAGATCTACATCTTTTTCTGGCATCTTATCCTTGTCTATCGCTTAGAATCGCTATTTGCTAGAGCGAGAAAGATTATGCGAATACGCCGCTGTATTCTCAAAACGATAGGCAAGATGCAGCGTAAACCCAAATAAGACTAAAAGTTAAACTTGGCATATAAAACAGGTAATCTATTCTAAAGCTTAGAATTTTACATATTAATACACATTGGCTTTCTGTAGTAGAACCGACGCGTCACACATGGCTTTTGCCGTTGAACGAACCAAGAACATGAGATGGAGTTGTTCGAAAACGTTCAATTGTACTCTTGTCCGCACTAAGCCGTGTAGAACCGTCGCCCTTTCTAGATCCAACCATCTCTGAAGAGATAACTCTCTATCATCAACAGGAACTCCTTGTACGACGTCCAAAGGACCCCATAACATGAATTCTAGAACAGACTTAGCCTGATTTAAGGATATCGCCCGTTCCTCATGAAGAACTTCCTTTAAAAGTGGTGTGAGTTTCTCCCCTGGCAGCAAGATTTCGAGAGCTTTGACAGCACATTTGCATAGAGAGTTCAGGTGTTCCTCGTCAGAAGATTTGCTGCAGTTAATTTCTTCGCTTAGTCTGGAATAGAAAGAAATTAGTTATTAAGTCTGATTTAATCACCTATTAAATGACTGGAAATTTATGTATCATTATTATAACAAATATATAACTCATCAATTGCATGGTTTACGAAGATTATTTTATGGTTTCGTTCGACCGAAATGTTCCCGGTGATGGGTATTGACGACCGCAGATGCCTCTTAAGGATGGCTTGAATTTTACACGAGCAATCTAGGATCAACGGCATATGAATCGATTAACGAAATAATTATTTCTCATAAATCTAATATTGTAATGGAAAGTGACTGTCTAATGGAGGAACTTCTCAATTGGACATCTCCAAAAGAAAGACGAAAGTAGTCCTTGCTGAGTGTCTTGCCGGTTCTTTTCATTATAAGGATTTGTGTATTGATGGCATAGCATTGTAACAGCCAAGATTGAATAAATGATATTTAATTTGATAAGAGCATATTAACGTAACAAAGGCTCATCTACTTACCCTTGTAAAATACATAACCGTCCATAATTGTTCGTTTTTGGCGCCCAAAGTGAGTTCAGTCTGTCATCTGGAGATGGCAAATTCAAGGTACTACCGTGTGAGGCGAGAGGCTGAATCTCCTTCAAGGCTATGAAAGCTGTCAATGTCTCCGGGATCTCTTCCACTCCTCTAGCTTGAAGGCATTTCAGCCCATTTATAAGTTGCAGCATCATGAATATGGCCTCGTGAATTTGTTCTGTCTGTACTAGCTGGTACTCCTTGGTGGAAAGACCTTCTGTGGCGTGAAGGCTCTCGCCGTATGACTGGATTGTGTCGACTTGCGCGTGTGCTAACACCACGATGGTGGCTGTAAAATAAATATATTTGGGTCAGTATGACTTTGAATTACACATTGCATGCGAAAGCTATGATTTTTTGTAATGGTTCATGATATAAGGAAGGAATTTTAATTGAAACAAAATGATAGAATTAATGTAAGTTAGATACATCACGGGTTTAATTCTAGTACTTTACTAAATTTATATTGAACTACTACTACTAGTCAGTGAAAATATTAAGATATGATTTTTCACCTTGAACTAAGTCTTCTCCTTCTTCCCCGAAATGTATCTTAGGCACGAGGTCACAGAACTCTGTGATGGCGTTCAAACTTAGTGACTGTGGCTGTACTGATTGCTGACATATCATTTGCGACGCCATTTGCTCTTTGTGTAACATTAGGGTCACATTCACGGGCCCTTGACTTGAGTTCCATATTGCTTGGTGGAAAATTCTTTTGCCAGCTCTAACGAGGTTGTGTTTGTGACCAGATTGGATGGAGAAATCGTTCCACCGAAGATTTGTGCACGCTTTGAGACCTCGAAGAGAAGGCTGCATTGCAGCACTTTGTTGGACCTGGAAATTAAAGAAAATTATTATGGCTTTCTGTTTAAGCGAATACAATACAACGTTTTTAAATTTCAAACCTAACATTTAGCATGCCTAATAGTCATACAATGGAGACCGATTTCCATAAAGTCACGGGTGAATAAACAGTAATGCAATTGGATATGTTTGTTGAATCTAATAATAGATACAGCCGGCAGTATTAAAGTTTAGAAAAACATACCATGTTAGGTATATATAAATTACCTGTTCTAAAACCTGCGCGAGCGCTTCGTGATTCGCAATAACGACGGCGCCATAATTATCCTCCAGATTTCTGTGCACGACACTTCGTCCTTTTCGCACTCGTAACTTATTCGTGGTATTTTTTGGTGTCATCTCGTTTTGGTAATCCTCGTTGTTAGGGCTGTCCATGTTATCGTTCGAGCTATAGAAACTGTACGGAGAATATATTTCTGACTCTGTCTCACTTCCGCAGTACGGCAGTGAGGATCTGTTGAATATTCCGTTATTGTATTTAGGGAATTCTGTGGTTTCCACGCTTTTTCTGATTTCACATCTGTTTTCGGAGTCGTCGGTTTTGATTGCTGCATCACATTCTGGCGAGCTCGATCTCGCATGGTGAACGTACTCGTAATCGCTGTCGCTGTTTTTGGCCGAGTCACTTGTCTCTTCTTCGTATTTAGCGGAGTTGTATACGTCATCATAGTTGTGTATGACGGCGTCATTGGTGGCTTGCACCAGCTCCTGGGGTCCGTCGTCGATTTCATCTTTGTCATCGTCAATATGCGTCCGTCGTTTTGGCAGTTCTAAATGTGCCTCCCGCTCTCTCATACTCGCTGTTCTTTCAGGTTTCCGAGGCGCCAACGCTGACCTTATTTCTCCTGTAAAATAAAATTAAAGAGAATTATATTTTTGATCAAAATTAATATACTTTTGTTTATTTAAAGGTAAAATAAGTTAATGATAGTGTTTTTAGTGTGATATAAAATAAACCTAAGAGATGATGCCTGGGTAAAAAAAAAAAATTCTGTTTAGTCCGTCAATCACACAATATAGAAAATTAATCATATAGGTATTATTTTTCTTTAATTCAATATGAAATAGCTTAGATAATAGGCATTAAAATTCAGGAGTGAGGGCTCGCTACGTAATTAAATACGTGTTTAATATTTTTCAATAATCTACCTGACGGAGAGACAAAAAAAGTAAGTTGTCATCCCTCTTGAGTATTTAATTTAGAACAGTAAATTAAGTATACATACACATTATAATGATAGTACTTATATGCGATATAGCTTTTTAACTTACCTAAATTAGCATAGATGTTGTCTTCTTTATTAGGCGGCGTCCACATCTGCTGTTTCTGTTGTTTTTGTAGAACAGCAGATTTAGGTGGCGGTGGTCGAGCAGGTTTTGGTAAATTCGAAATATTTTTATAATCTTCACTTGATTGTCTCGGTGGCGGAGGTGGTTTGTTTATTACTTTTGGCATTTCTACTTCTGTCGAACTACCACTGTATATTGATGACACATCATCGTGACTCACTCTTCGCAGATTGTCAGCAATTTCGCAATTTGATTTCACAACTTCGACATTTGACCCATTAATGTCTAAAGGATGTATAATCACGAGGCGTGGCTTCGGTTTTGGTGTTAAATCGTATATTTCATCAGGTTTTGGTATAACTTTCGTAACGGTAGCTACACTCAGTTCTTTTTTATCGAGATCTTTTGAAGACCCTATACGTAGTAGTTTTTTAATAGAAAATTTAAGTTTTCCTTTTCGTTTCTCATCCAACAATAAGTTATCGTGAGATAGTGATATATTTCTTCTTGGTGCTGGTTCTGGTATTACATCTTTTTTTACTTCTAACCCATCATCTTGAATTGGTCTTTGTTTAGGAGAAGCGGAAGAGGCAGATGCTCGTTCTCTTTTTTCCATCTCTCTAACAACTGGTGAATCTGATTTCATAAAACCATTAGTATTTCTTTGGTACAAATTATTGGAGTATTCTTCCACTGATGGTGATAATGGTGGTGTTGGAGCTTTACGTTTACTTAGGCTATTCAGTGAAGTATCGCTATCCTGCTTTGTTAACACTGGTTTTGCATAATAAATAGGTTCTGGTTTATCTTCACGTACTTCACTTATTTCATTATTTTTCTCTTCGTTATTGGCTCTTGTAATTTCTTCGTCTCTTTTGTTATTATTTTGTAAATGTATTGTCAACTGTTGTTGATGTGTCGAAGAAGAACTTTTTTTGTTGGTAGTTTGTTTTATAACAGGTTTGGTAGGAAGTTTCGGTTTTTCGGGTAACGCTGGTTTGGAAGCCGGCATTATATCTGTAATCATGCCATGCAAAAAAGATGGACGCGGATCCATGGTAGGTATGGGGCTTTTTGGTAAAGCCGGAGCTTCTGATGCATCATCTGGATCTGCTCGACCGTCTGGTTCCCCGGCCAACTCACGACTGGCTTCGGGTGTAAACATATTTTCCGGTTGTTTAGGTATTATAACCGGCATATCCATTATTGGAGTTTGGAATGTAGAGTATCCACCATTTGATTGTCCATCTATTTTACGAAGCTGTTCCATTGGCGACAATTTGATGTTCTTATCACCATCATTGAATATTTTTATCTTAACAGTTTCTTCACATTTGTTTGATTCCGAAAAATGACCGCTGTCGTCATTATCTGAGTCGGTTCGCCCACTAAAACTTTCGTCATCTGATGCGAGTGAATTGTTTGCGGTCGAGTTTAAAGTACTTACAGCGGAATCAACACTGCTGCTCTCTATTTTGATTTTACAAAATTTAAACTCAGATCTACTTAAATTTACTTTGGGTCGCTCTTGCGTTTTGACTAAAGGAGATTTTCTTACAATGCTATTCTTTTTTGTTTCTACCATTTCTTTTTTATCAACCTCATCTTGCATACTTTCTTTGATTTTCCCTTCTACAATCATTGGTTTATTGTTATCTTTTTGTGTCAAAGCCAATTCTGAGCCATTGCCTATCCTATTTTGTTGTAACGTTTCAGATATTTCCTCCAATAGTGATTTTTCTGTACAAATAGTACCGGTAGAACCTTCGGGGCAAATAATTGTCTCTGTTTCTTTAACATATGTAGATAAAATTATGTTTGTTTTATAATTACTCGTTTCTTCTGATGGGGGTTCAGCAACATGTATGACGGCGGCGGGTTTACGAATGTGAGACTTAACGCTTGGACTCTTATTGTCCTGTCCGAATGGAGTAACAGATACCAAAAGTGTTTTCTTTTTGCCATCTGAATCAGTCTGCATTTTACCTAGTAATAAGGATGTGTAAGATTTACTCACAGAGTCTCCTAATAAATTTGCTTTCACAGTGTTAAAATCTGTATTTGATTTTGTAATTCTGTGAAGCTCTCTCTCCTCCTCTGTATCGGGGAATGTGTCCTCGTCGTCATTATCTTCTGAAACTTCAAACTCTTCGCCATCAGACCAGTCATCTCCTCCGTAACCTATAACACTGCATACTTCTTCTGGGAATCGCACGTTTCGTTTATTTTTCTTCTTGGATTGAATTTTGAGTATGCTCGGTGGTGTTGTTTTTTTGAAATAAGTGCTTTTGTTTTGGAACGGTGTGGCTAAATATTTGCTACCGTCAGTCGTTCTATCTTGTTTGACGTGTTCCTCGCGTGATTTGAAGCAATTCGAGCAGAAATCCTTCTTCCACGCATTCTGGACGAAATTGTGGCATACGGGTGACATCTTGCCCTTTGAGTACCGTCGGTTGATTACATAACTGGCATTCTGGAAAGAAAAGAAATAAATTTATAAATACATGTTGCTTTGTGAGTGTTCTTACGAACCTATCGTTTTTCAATAGTTAGTCATTATCACGTTATTATTACATATGTTATTATTTCTCAGACTTTGTATTTAATAAGCTTTTAATCTAATAAATTCTAGTAAATGTGTTAAATCAATACTGATTTGAAATTACGAATAAATTGTGAAACGCCTCTGTACTCTATTCGTATTATGTATGCAATTTATGTATGAAAGTAATTTGTGACGATATTGATATAAAGTCGAGCGAGTATTGGAATGGCGATTGGTTAAAAAAGAAATTTCTGAGATAATAGGCATTAAAGTTCACGTGTGGGGGCTTGCTACGTCACAGTTTTGTAGAAAATGTACAAAAGCGTGACGTCATGAGACATTTCAACTAGATGTATTGCAGTAATTTATTGATTACGCAAGAAATAAAAAAAATATAGGTATTTAATATTCTTCAACAATCTACCTGAAGGGCAAACGAACAAAAATTACTCGTCATCCCTATTCAGAACTAGTAATAACTTGTAAATATTATATCTATTTATGACAAAGAACCTTTATAAATTACGAAATAATTTTTACTTTTTCAAAGTGCGTGTATTGCACAATTTGTGTTCCAAATAAGTATAATTGTAAATGATATAATAAAAAAGGTAAGAGCGATTGTTTTTTTTCTTGTCAATATAATCAGCTTAACATGCCTTCCATTAAGTCATCACTAAATCAACATGAATGAAACCTTCATGTTTTCTGAAGAAGTATCTGTAGGGTGAGTTAATTAATAGAGTTGGACATTACAAATGGTCATGCTACTGTTAATAATTGTCAAGTCATTAGATATTAAATAAAGACACGTGTGCTTTCTAAACAAGAGGTTGTAATGTATGCCAATCACATATTTATATGAGGAGTAGAAATGAATAATAGAAATTGCTCATGGTCGGTGAAACTCTTTAGGACATGTTCTTGGAATTTGATGATATGTTTACATTTAAAATACGGACACGCAGCTATCCCTTTGAAAAGAAATTAGACACATTTTTTGACTTCATAATGTGATTGGTGAAAACTAATGAAAATCAGTTCGGTAATTTTTAAGTTAAGATTTAATATTCTTAATGAAAGATACTATTACAAGTTTTACTTAATATTCAAGTTAAGGAAGATTGTTTACCATGTAAGGATATCAAAGTGAATAACGGATGATAGAACATTCCTCGTACATAACTTCTTTACTGAATACAATAAGACATTATATTTCGTTCGCCATTGATATTGTTGTAGCATTTAATATCTGGTTTCGTGACTTTAGTAATAAATATATAGACAGTCACCATTCAGCTATTACATTTTGACGGTCATATTCCGATGTTTATTGTTGCGTGGGTTATTCAACGTTACCTATACTGTTTTTTGTGTTACATCACAGAATTGCTTCGGAGTTGTTGCATTGTTTGAGTTACGTTTTGTTTTGGTTTGTTGTTTCTAGCAGGCGCTTTTAATGTTGTTTTTTTTAACTATTTAGACGCCATTTAATTCGTACATCTTATATAGGTACACTAATATTATGAAGAGGAAATAATACATTGATTGTTTGTTTGTTTGCATTGGCTCCGATATTACTCGACCGATTTTAATAATTCTTTCTTGAAGCTACATGATACACGTGGTGTGAGTTATAATTTACGCGGGCGAAGTTGCGGGAAAACAGCTGGTTATATATTAAGCGGCACTTAATGATAATATGACAAATTTTTAAATTTCAGCACTGTGAGGAAGGCCTGCAATACGTTATCAATCAAGAACCCTAACAACAACCAACCCGCCGTTAACAACTACATAGATCTACGGCAACAGAAATAGATCAACTGTCTAATTTTCATGCTTCATGAGATGCACCCTGGTTACAGACAGACAGCGAACTCTTAGTAATAGGGTTCCCGTTTTATCCTTTGAGTACGGAACCCTAAAAAGAGAGTGAAATGCAACTTCCTTATGTTGGTGACACTCTAGAAGGCATCGATTTGCCTTGATTTCATACTGGTTATGATAACAAAACCGGAGCTTTGTAAAAAGGTAATGGAGTAGCTCGGTGGCGTAACAACTACCAACCCGCACTAGACTAGTTAGTGCGGGTTGGTAGTTGTTAACAACTGACACATGCATATGATCCTTGCCAAAACTGCTTAACCTCCGCATCGAAAACTGGATTTCTTCTCTACGTATTAGAGGAAGTCTTGGCTTTTAAAATAATATTGTAGATAACTCTTGGCAAGCAATACCGATACTCATTTAGCCTTTTTTCGCTTTCACGGTTACCATAATTATGTTCGGAAATAGAAGCGACTGTAAATAACTTAAGTAAACAAGTTACTGTGCTTAATAAACGAAACGATTGTGAAACATCATTCGGCGTATATCCAGTGTTGCTGATGTGTGTACAATCGTTTTGCTTACTCATCGACAAAACTGCATTTTGGTTTCGCAACCGTCTTAACTGTTCGAGGCCGTTTTGAGGATCTTTAATGGAAACTAACCACATTTCAGGGTCTTCAAAACGGCTTTATATATAGTACAGTTCGAAAACATTCTTTGAAGGGTTAGTGTTCTTTTGAATTAGTTCAAGATATATTATAAAACATTTTTAATAGTTTAATTAAATAGAACATTTCAAAAATTACAAATAAAAAAATACCTTAATACCTTAGAACATGTATTTGTCTGTAGTTCGGATAAGCCCCACGGCCCGCGATCTTTGTTGTTAAGCAACTTTCGCAAGGGTCGATCACAAGATGGTTTGTCCAAACCAAATATTATTTCGAGCTTCTCCGTGCTTCGTAAGGCATGTTAAGCCGTTGGATAGGGCCGAATTTGCAGTCGTCAATACCCTCCAAACCGCATTGGGCCACTGCGGGAGGTCAAGGCCCTTCCATAAGGAAGGCCTAAGTAATGTAGACTTTTTATTCTTTTTTATCCTAAACGATCCTTCATCGGGGTGTGATCGCCTAACCCTCCAACCAAAGGATACGATAATTTTGTAATTATTGTGGTGATATTTTGTGTCATTATATGAATACACGACTAAGTTAGTAAAACGGCTGTCAAATCCATTATTATCATTCTTTATTGTCTGTCGTTATTAAAGTACAGTCAACTGCACGTATCAAATTTCCCCCACCCGATTTTAAATCTTAATATGTTGGAGTTAGAGGTCAAAATCCATTGCAGAATAGTAAGTGTGACATGTCAAAATAGTAAGTGTAACGAAATATCACCAAGATGTCGTTTTCTGCGGCTTAGACGGTCGCTCTCGTTGCTTTAGTGGAATTAAATATTAAATTCGCTATTCAAATATTGTGAACGTATCCTATAAGGATTGTGTCAAGGTAGCTTATGCTTTCATTTTGGCTGTTTGGGTGGATTGCCTGAACATTGATGAGAATACGCTCTGTAGTAGCAAAAGTGTAACAAGTGCTTTAAAGTTTCGTTAACCCTGTTAGGTCTCAGTGGTTAGAGCAGTCGCCCGGATTACGAAAGTTCATGAGTTCGAACTCAGGGTGCCAGCGATTGGATTTTTAAAGCATTTTTCATTAATAAAATTAAATTATTAAAAAAAAACACACGACAAAACAGTTTCAAAGTATACAGTTTCTATTTAATAACCAGTGTTCATATGAAATGGTATTTGGGTCATATTTTCGAATGTTCCGGTGAAATTAAAGCGTTACGCACGCTAACACCTTTTCAAACAAAAACATACAAGTATACATCCAATTGCTTTGTTTGTGGCATAAATATTTTGACGTTGAAACCAGGTAGAGGCCGGACAATGGTATTGACCTAATAGTAACACAAATGATGCATGAAATATATATTACTCGTAAAATTAATTATAAATGTATTTATTATGTAAATAAATATGTTTTCTGTTACTTCAGTTCGGACACTAATGAAAGTAGGTTAGTGAATCGAAGAAATGATCGGCAGTGCACGTGTTTTAAAAGTAGAGGTCATTCATATCAAAAAAGCTCTGTCATGATATGGAACATTGTATTGATAATTCTATGACGTTATCATTGTTTGCCGGAGGTAAATGAATTTTTATTTACTTATTTGACCTACCTACATCATCACCAGCCTTTTAACGCTTTCATCATTAATACTTTCTAAACTTAATTATTGAGATCTAATGTATGTTTTGCACCTGCTTTCAAGGGCTCGCCGTCTCATCCAGCGAGTGCAGAATCCCTGTTGGTGTTTTGGTTCTTCAACACCCCGCAGAGGTAACATTATAACCTATTTAAATACCGCTTTAAAGTGAAACATGGCATCACGTAGACATCTGCACTTCGCTTAGCCTCTCATTCGACATCATCGTATTCAAAAAACCTAGTTCATCATCATCATCAGCCCTTTTTCGTCCCCACTGCAGGGGCTCAGGCTTTCCTTTTGATGGTTAAAGAGCATGGGCCATGACCCTCCACGCTGGTCCAATGCGGATTGGCGGGTATTAACGACTATAAATACAGCCGGGAACAGCTTAACGTGCCTTCCGAAGCACGGAGGGCGAGATAATATTTTTTTGATCACCCATCCCGTGACCGACCCTTGCGAAAGTTGTTTAAAGACAACGATCGCGTGCCGCGGCGCTTATCCACTACGCCACCGAGCTACTCCATTACCTTTTTACTAAGCTCCGGTTTTGTTATCATAACCCGTATGAAATCAAAGCAAATCGATGCCTTCTAGAGTGTCACCAACATAAGGCAGTTGCATTTCACTCTCTTTTTAGGGTTCCGTACTCAAAGGATAAAACGGGAACCCCATTACTAAGAGTTCGCTGTCTGTCTGTCACCACGGTGCATCTCATGAAGCATGAAAATTAGACAGTTGATCTATTTCTGTTGCCGCTATACAAGAAATACTAAAAACCAGAATAAAATAAATATTTAAAGGGGCTTCTACACAAC